GGATGTATTGTGATATTGACCCCACCAGTAGCGTGTTGCTGCGGATAAATCAACAACTACTCTGATGTTAGTAATCACAAGATGATGTAATTACAAGCTGACATTACCACCTAGCTACGTGGATGATGTTTCTTCGCTATTAGAACTATGACCACCGAAGAATGCCTCATTTAAAAACACTTTTCTCGCTTTCTGTAACACACTGTTAATCAATAGCAAACGTCGCATGTCTTTACGTTTACGGCCAACACAAGCTTTATTCAGTGATAGATTAATCATATCTCTAGCACTGATCTCCATCGCGAAGTAGATACTGATGTAGACGGTTTGCAGGCTAGTAACAGACTTATAAGTGCTGTCAGGCATCCACCATAGAGACCTGGATGGTTCTAGGAAGTCGATAATAAAGCTGTTGCTTTGTCAACAAACACGTTGCCACCACCACATAATGCTCTAACAAAGGAGCATAAATAAAGCCCCTAATAAAGTCTAATAAAGCTCTAACAAAGAGATTGCGCCTTGTAAAAGCTGTTAGTAAACAACTAATGGAACTATTTATCATCCGTAATTGACAGTTCTGAGAATCCGAGCCAGACTTTGCCGCCGCCGCCCCGACGCCTAGCCTAATAAACCTTAAAGAAAGAGACCGCGTCTCGTAAAAGCTTTTAGAAACTCAAATAATGGATCCGTCAATCATCCGTTAAGTGGATTTCTTTGTATTCTAGGATCAAAGGGAGCGCCGCTGATAATTGCTTTCCATTGTATTGAAACATCAAAGGGACAGCTGACTACACCTCTCTCCGTGGGAGGTCTCACACATCCGGAGGTGCAGGATGACCACTGGCGGGGGGGGGGTCGGAGGTGCAGGGGGGAGGGGGAGGTGCAGGGGGGGGGAGGTGCAAGGGGGGGGGGAGGTGCAAGGGGGGGGATGTGCAAGGGGGGGGGGGTGCAAGGGCGGGGGAGGGGGGAGGGGGGGAGGTGCAAGGGTGGGGGGGGGGAGGTGCGGCCGCAGGAGGCGGGTGGTGGAGGTGGAGGCGGTGGTGTTGCTCCCCTTACTCCCCTCTTTAAGTCCCCCAAAGACTACTACTACTGTTAGTAACTAAATATATTTTTGAAATTTTTACAGGCTGAAAATTGATCATAAGTTTCTGCTAAAAGCATGAAACTGTCATAGAATGCTAAAATGTATTATGTTTGTCAATTGTTAAGTTATATTGTTCAATCAAAATTATTTGTATTGGATTAAAACTTTTGGTAACTTAATATTTTTTTTTGAAATTTTTACTACTGAAAATTTATCATAAGTTTCTGCTAAAATCATAAAACTGTTTAAAAATAGTTTAAATCAAAATTTACTAAAATATAACAAAATATACATATAGATTTTTTTGTTTTTTACAAGATTACGATTAGTATACGGTAATCTATCTTCGTTTAAGATTTACGCTTCATTTCCTACTAAAATATGAGGAGAGTGATTAATCTTTTGTCCCACTACTGTAACCTTTGGTGTTTAACATCGTAACGGATTATACGCTTCCTTTACATAGCTTAAAGTATTCGTAAGATTATGTTGAATAATCAGTTATCGTCGATCCCTTTTGGAGTTGAAAAAGGCCACTTTTTAAACCAGGATGTTATTTTAAGGCATAATAGAATATTATCGTATAAGCAAGCATGAATTAAAATAATTATGGAATTTATTATTAAATTTTAGATTGCGTACTACTTTAATATGAGGTTTTATAAAATTTTATCTTATTTATTTTTCAGTATTTTGGTAAAAAGGACATAATATGTGATTATTTTTGGATGCTGTTATGTGATGAAATAAAGTCGTGAATACACACAAGTAGAAAAAGAACAATCAGAATTTTACCACAAATATTCAACCCAAACGTAACAGCTCTCTCAGTGATTAGTAGCGTTTCATTAAAAGTTTCACCTCTACAATTTGTGATTGGTTGGTAACAAATGGGCCTGGTTATTCGTTAGATTAATCATCAAGCAATCTTACTCAACATAGCTTTGGTCGTGTTGGAAAATTTGGTACCATTAGGACCGAAATATTAAAATGCAATCTATAGAAAACTTAATTTGTTTATATCGTATTTCAATAACAAATACAAAGTTTACCACACTTGTAAAGGTATGAATAGCTACAATAGGTGGTTCCAATACAGCCATTTCAACACGATTGCATTTACAAAGGTAAGTAATTAATCGGACAACCTAAATTGTCGTAATTGAATCAGCTTTACAATTACCTGATTTGATTGTTTGTTAAATCGTCCAGCAAATCGCACATCGAGTATTGCGGTATTGCTCTGTACATTTTGTAGTTTGTAATTCTATTTTTTTCCATTAGCGAATACATTTACACTTGGCTTATTAGAACTTGGATGTGGCTTATGTAAATTTAATTCATACTAAAGATTAAAAAAGAAAGTAAGTTATTTGTAATTAATATTAAAATAATGTATATTTAAGTAATTTATGGCCAACTGCAGTATACAAATTATATTCTAACGATTCGTTTACTTTCTTTGACCATTTTACCAGATTTCGGAATATGTTTACAGACTTTTTAAGATTTTTTATATGTATTAATTAAGCTAAGGCTATGTAAGTTTCTTTTTTTGAAACTGCACCCGTTCCTTCAATAAACTTTCTAAATATGTGAAGATAAAAACATTGTTTGCATTTCCATCCTTACTTAAGTCATACAAATACAAAAATCTGATTGTTGTCTATATATCTAATTCCGTAAGCCCAAAATTTTACAATGAAAATGTGAGTGAACAGGAGGCCGTAGAAAGCTGGGAGATGTCTCATTTTAAAGGTCTCGGCATGAAATTTTGGGGAAAAATATTTATTTTTCTTAATTATGCACCAAAACGTTGTTACGGAATAAAATAATTCACATTTAAATAGCATTGGAATCTAGGTAATGTCTGCTTTGTTTACTTTAAAACATTGTGGTTTAACTTTATTTAAATCATATGGTAATATGTACTGTAATTTGTCTATTATTATAAAGCTGAAATATACTTTTTCCCTATTTTAAGGGTCTGGTTAATGAAGTACGATTGGTTGTGTTAGTTATGTTGAATAAAATTTTTAGTTAGAAGTAATTACTAGAGTAGGCAAAGGGATATTTTTCATGTTAAAAATAAAACTAATATCTACAGATCCCAATATGCCGTTTAGGTTTACAAGGATTCAATTCTCACTGCGATTAGCTTTCGCTATTACTTATTATTAAAGCGCAAGGCAAAACCTTCACAAAAGTTGGTATTTATTTAAAAAAAGGGGAAAACAGTATTTACCCACGGTCAACTTCATGTTTCTTTTAGCCGCGTAGAGCGGCCAGATGATGATAAAATAGTACTTACTAGAACCAAATAAAGACCAAGTAATCGACCAAAATAGATACTATACAACAAATTTTGTTTTCAGAGAGATTTTTTTTTATAGAATATGCAAGTAGATAGGGTTGCCTGATTTTTTCTCCGGCGAATAAAAGTGACAGCGATGTTGGGAATGAGTATACGAGTGTGGGCAGGGGACGATTTGTCCTCGAGCGAGCGACGACGACTTGTGCAGGTTAAAACTGTATGTTAGTTTGTGTAGACTGTAGGCACTAAGCACTGTATATATAAGAAGTATGTAAGTATTGGTTAGCAGACAAGTAGAGGTTACAGCAGAGCTGTAATTACCAGCCCGCTGTTGCGAGTATAAGTGCGAGGTGAATGTCATGGCTGGCTGTACAAGTGATTGCAGTAGAAAGTGAATTCACTTTCAATTCGGCGCACTAGGTCATGAATGCAACTCAGCGCAACCTGTCTGACCTAGAGAGCTGACACTAAGTTAAGTAACGCTTGCGTAAAATACACATGTCTACATCTACATACAGTACTTAAGACTAAAAAAGGACTGAATAAACTAAATACGTATTCAGTGAGCAAATATCAAACATTTATTGTTTCCAAATTTTTATATTCGGAGAGTTCCCGCTCATCCCCAAGTATTGAACCCGATATGCCTTGCTCTCAGCGATTTCCTTCAGTTCATCTGAACTCAACGCCTCGCTGAACCGCTTTGGTAAGAATATACAGAAGTCGGCACTCTTTTCTGGCACATGGATGTCTAGGACGATGGACGCTCCGTATTTGGTGTTTACTGCCCTCCCTGCCACAATGGAGTAGCCCTCTTTGTTAGTAAGCGCCGAAACGTCGATCCTAGGGAGGTATGGTCCTTTCTCCAGGGTGTTGAGTTTTGCTGCTAGGGCCATGATTATGATCTATAAAAAAATATCCTGTTTTAAAAGTCGTACTAATAGTATGCCATATTATAGGCCGAGTACTGATATAATGAAAATTTATCGAGTTAACTAGCTTAGCATTAATAGACAATGCATAAACAACTGGAGCACTACAGCATAAATAGTACAATTGAAGATTGCTGCGTGAAACAAGTATGTCACAGCATATAACGCAAGGTGTAATATCATAGAAATATTAGCGCAACGGAGGGCAACTAGATACATATAAAACGTTTAACAGCTTAGTAATAACAGCTAAATGTATAGAAAAACCGTTGCACTTAGAATATACAAATATAACAAGTAAGGTTTGCAGATTGTAACAAGTATATCGCTGCATATATCGATTAGTAGAGTGTACCATACACATAGCAGTCCATCGTAGCGCAACTATATACATATTACAAATAGCTCTAAATAGCTAAATGTGTAGCAAAACTGTTACACTACAACATATGGATATATTGTAATCAATGTTATCTTGTATCATGTGTCAGGAATACCGTTTCATATAACAAGTAGTAGAAATATTAGTCAGTATAACATGTAGGCAGTACCAAGACAGTATAGCAAACGCAGCAGTGTAGAGAAAAACACATATTGGGACAGACAAAGGGGGGAAACCTTCAGTAAGTGGAGGGTATGAGAGTAATGCATCATTATGCATTAACGCAAAACAAATATCAGCACAGCAACAAATAAGAATATACAACTAGCACTCTTAGAAAATACAATTATGGAGCTATAGTAGTAGTAGAAAAGTGTAAGCTAAATAAGCATATACAAACTAAAAGATCATACAAGTAAGATTATTCTCACAGTTAATGCATAAGCACACGAGACATACCTGTTCGGTTGCGTGCAGAGAACTGTGCAGCCATGTACGCTTATGCCGCTTATAAGCAATCCTGGCTCCCCACAATCACTGACCTCACACAAACTGTATAAAAGCAGCCCATTGGCACTGCAAAGTTGTATTCGACTCCAGCTTGCATTGTGAGTAACTCGTGCACCTCGGTCAGTTTGTGCGTCCGGGGCAGTACGTGCATCAGTCGAAGTCGTCTACGCTTGTGTGATGCCAGAACATCTTCTCCATAGTTGTAAGTACAAACATATCGTAGTTTGCAATATAGTTGCTAGGATTTTAAAAAGACCATAAGATTTAAGCTTTTCCTATAACTCCTTGCTCTCCTTACCATAAGAGCAACGTTAAATAGCTAGACTCAAAACTTACAAAATTATTTACAATTATTTAATGTCAAATCTGAGTGTTGTAAAACGTGGTAATGCTCGTTAAATTAGAAATCTGAAGTGAAGTATGTAGCTAGAATATTAAAAGATGTCTAAAAATCTGTTTGATTAGAAATACGTTGATCTTTAAAAACCAATTATATATTCAATAAATAAATATGACTAAATAAACTTCTAATAATACGATTAATATAGATTAATTATACAATCTCTGGCTATCGCATGATTATATGTTGAATATACACTTAATCAATACTATATACAATTTGAAATATTCTTCTCTCAAATCAATACAAACATTCTATTTCAAATGTCACCAAGAACTAGTTTGTGTAAAAAGAAATAAATAATCCGCTAGTGTGTGTTTGCATTTAATATTGTTCTTACTGGACAAATCATGACGCTAGCCAAGGGTTAAGGGTTCTTCCTTGTTCAAATAACTAGCTATTAAATATAAAGTACCCTAGTGACTAGGGATGTAGGTACATAAATAAAAGTCAATAAATATTTCTTTTAACTATATATCTATTAAAATATATATGTTCACTATTTAGTCTTTATTACTTAATAAATGATTTTTAACCTATATACCCTATAGAAAAAATTAAGAACACTTCTATACTACAATGTTTTGAAAGAAAACGTACTAAAAAAAAACGAATTAATATCTATCAGAAAGAAAAATCATTAGGTATTATGAACTTAGCAAGCATGTAGGATTATTTTAGAAAAACTTGCATATACGCATTTTTTTTTGTCATAAGTTAAGCTAGCAAAATAAGAAAAATAAATAAATAAATCATGCTTAGAAATGAGTGTAGATTTTGTCTTTAGAGCTGTAGCTTAGTATATGCATAGATTAAGCAACTTTAAAGCTCGTTCTTTGTGTCTAACTCTTGAGTGCTGTCTCTGTTTGCTAGTGCAGACACAACCATCTCTCTACCATGTGTAATTCTATGATTTCCGCATTATTGTTAGGCTAGATAACTAGTGAATGCATTATTGGCTATGAAAAAATCACTTTATTCGCATTAACAAAGTTTAAAATTATTAAATTGGCAAGAAAAAAAATTGTAAAGAAAAACACGAATGCTTAAAACTAAACTTTGTAACTTAAGTTTTGTTCGGTATTTCGATATTGTTAATATAAATTTTGTGTGATTATATTTTAAGCTTATATCACAAACGTTTTAAATATAACATATTGACACTAATCAAGTATGGATGGTGAATAAAGATATTTTGATTTTGATTTGACGATCTATGCAGTGGATAGAACTAACTGGCTTCAGTTGTTATATAACGATGAAAAATCTACTTAGGAAGGAGTATGCTTTATTTTTGGTATTGACGAAACTACTATATATGACAACTGACACTTTATTTTTACATTTACAGCGCTAGAAGTGAGCAGTCATTCCCCACGTGCCGTCTTGCAAAGTTCCACTTAGATGTTAAACCTTCAATGAGCAGTCTAGCTGTGAAAACTTCTACAACAATGTAAGTAGAAAGCCCTGTCAGTTTTATATCTTCTTGGTACTACGTTTAGTAAACTATTATTTGAGAGCTTACAACTTAATATAGTCGAATGTAAAGAGCCCCTTAATACCTCATATTGTCCTAGCAAAAACTACACTAAACCATGCAGCTATATAAGCAACATTCATTGTTGCAAGAAATCCACACAACTAAAGACAAAATGCGTGTAATATGAGCTTAAAGAATCTGAATTGTAAAATCTCATGCTGAACATGATAACATAGGCAATAAAACTTAAATTTAAATATTAAAATAGGTAAGTGCTAAAAATTAATGTATTTTTTCTAAAACTTAACGTAAACAATCTCAAACCAAATATAATAGAACTATAGCAGACCATGAGCAATGTACTTAATGTTTGAAATTAATGTTTTAGATGTATCTACAATGTGCCATCTGTCGAGAAGCCTACTTCCTTAGTGCATCCGCAAGGAGCCGTCACCAGCAAATGTGTTTGGCGTTGAACGACTACTTCACATCAGCAGTAGCGAGCAACAATGACAACAGACGAGAGACACACGAGGCAGCAATTCAGACACCTCCACAGCAAATTAAAGCAGTACCCAGTGGCAGTGGCTTGAAAAGAAAACTACCACCTCCAAAGGTGACTAAGCGTCCTGTGACTAGTGTATTGTCAAGTCCATCATCACATACAAGTTCAACAACAAGGCTGACGTGGTATTTAAAAAAAGGTCTTCAATCGGCCAAAGACTATGTCATAGAAAATAATGAAAACCTCTACAAGGACCTACCGCCATTTATTGAAGCTGCTAACGAAGTGGTGCTCGATATACTACAAGATGAGCTGCGTGTCACCAAATCCCTCAAGTACAACGTCGTACTGGAGGCCGTCTACTGCCATCCTGAAGGACATTGCGAACTTATGAACTTCAAGACCACGTCGAGGCTTATACACAGCGCCTGTGATGAGCTACAAGAGCTGCTGAAGAAGGACGCCAGCAAACTGCTTCGTGAGGAGTCTGAAGCGCAGGCGAAAGGCAGTGGATGGACTTTGCATGAGGTAAAGAGCCTCACACTTAGACTAAGCAAATTTTCATATGCATTGCCTGCTGGAAGTGGCTATCTGCCACTGCCTCCAAAAATTGCTAAAAGGAAATGCATTTTAAATGTAAAAAACAGCAATGATTGTTGTTTCATGTATTGTATATTAGCCAAAAGTCTACCTAATATACGTTATGACTCAGTGCTTACTGAGCATAGCTTTAGGGAGTGTGAAACACATTACAACTTTGATGGTATTTCATTTCCAACGCCCATTTCACAAATGAAAAAATTTGAAAAACAAAACATCAACACTAGCGTAAACATCTTCGAACTGGACGAAAATGCCCATATTACACCACTCAGGATAGTTGATGAGCAGCAAGACCATTTTGATCTCCTTCTCGTTAGAAATGATGAAGGAGAGGCTCATTTTACGTTAATATTGAATTTCACAAAGCTTATGCAGCCACAAATTACAAAAGGCAGCAACAAAATTACAATCTGTAAAAGGTGTAGCACCTTTAAAGAAAACAGGCGCTGTGTTCCGACACCTCAGCACTGGTTGAGTGAACATTTAATGCTCTGTGGAAAATCAAAACCAAGTGAAGTGATTTTGCCGGAGCAGCATAAAAGCAAACTTAGATTTGTTAGCTACGAGATGCAAATTGAAGTACCAATTGTAGTCACAGCTGACTTCGAATCAACACTATATCCAGTTCCCTCGACAGACAATGCCTATCAACGGCACGAGGCGAACTCGTTTGCTTATATCGTAGCAAGTAACCTTCCCAAAGAGCTGTTAGAGGAAGCTGAGATAAACACCTCACCCTACATACACAGATCGGAATCGGCTGCAAAAGAATTCCTTTTACAAATGCAGGAGCTAGCTGTAAAAGTGGAAAAGCTGTACACTAAAAATGTGAGTATGATTGCATTAAATGATGAACAACAGAAACAGCATGATGAAGCGACAAACTGCGAGCTGTGTGAAATAGCATTTGATGAGACATTGGTTCAGTCAAGGAAATGCCGGGATCACGACCATATAACAGGTCAGTTCCGTTATACCTTGTGCTCGTTGTGTAACACCCGCTGTCAACTTCCAAACTTCATACCAATATACTTTCACAACCTTTCTTCATACGACGAAGCATTCATTATTAAGAACTTGGCAGTACTACCCAACAGCGAAATAAAAGTGATCCCTAGTAATTCAGAAAGATTCATCAGTATATCGATAAAGATTGGGAGGATGTGGCTTAGGTTTTTGGATTCATTTCGCCTAATGGCGGACAGCCTTGCGAATCTCGCTTCGTATCTCACACCGATGGAACTCGTAGAGTCATCCAAGCTTGTGCCAGAACAGCATATGGAGTTGATTAAAAGAAAAGGGATTTATCCCTATGATTATGTAAAAGACTTTGCTGTATTCAGTGAGGAAGCACTGCCACCACGTGAAAGCTTTTACAATGCCCTCAATGACTCGGAAGTTACGGATGCAGAATATCAACATGCCCAACACACTTGGAATACAATGAAAATGAAAAATTTTGGACAATACCATGATTTTTATCTGTTATTGGATGTTTGTCTTTTAATGGACATAATTCAATGCTTTCGCAAAAACTGTGTAGCTACCTATAACATTGACTGTTGTCATTCATTTACAGCGCCAGGTCTAGCATGGCAGAGTATGCTACGTATGACTGGTGTAACTTTGGAATTGTTGACGAACTATGACCATTTCTTAATGTTTGAAAGTGCGATTAGAGGCGGTTTGGTACAATGCTGCCACCGCTATGAAAAAGCCAACAACCCACTTTTAGAGAACAGCGAAGACTATGATCCAAACAAAGAAACCAAATACATGTTGTATTTGGACTGCATAAACTTGTATGGAAGCCAAATGAAAAAACACTTTCCAACTGGAAATTTTGAGTTTGTAAATGATGTTGATGATCTTAATTGGTCAAACTTACCCGAAGATTCGCCGTATGGACTTTTACTAGAATGTGATGTCACAGTGCCAGAGCACTTGCACGATCTAATGAACGACTTCCCCATTCTACCAGAACAAAAAGATGTGGATAATCAGGGAAAACTACTTGCTACGCTTGAAGATAAAAAACACTATATCGCTCACTATACAGTGTTCCAGCAGGCAGTCAAATTAGGCTTGAAAATTACAAAAGTTCACAGAGCGTTGCGATTCTCCCAGTCGCCGTGGATGGAAAAGTTCATCGACAAAAACACCACATTAAGAGCTGAATCTACGAATGAGTTTTCCAAAAATTTCTACAAGTTTATGAATAATAGTGTGTTTGGAAAGACGTTAGAAAACGTGCGCAATCGTGTAGATATTAGAATAGTAACTTCTGATGAAGCGTTCCAGAAGCTGTCACGTCAAGCAAGATTTGTTGACAGAAGCATTATCGCTGATGGTGTGATCGCGGTACATTTAAGAAGACAAAAGGTAGTATTAAACAAGCCGGTCTATGTTGGTTCCGTAGTTCTCGACAAAGCAAAAGTTCATATGAACTGGTTTCATTATATGGTTATGAAGAAAAAACTAGCTCCGCCAGACTTTGAAGTGTATGTTAACTATTCTGATACTGATTCTCTATTATATACCATAATTACCAAGTTAAACCTAAATAATGAATTGAAGGAAAGATTGGGAGATGTACTGGATAGGTCATGCTATCCCAAGGAGCATGAGCTGTGGCTGGAAGGAGCGATTCCTCAAATAGGCACATTTAAGGATGAATGCAAAGGAAGACAGCTATTTGAGTACGTAGGATTGCGTTGTAAAATGTACTGCTACAGGTTCAACTCCAGCCAACAGACAACGGCAAAGAAAAAGTGTAAGGGAATAAGCAAACGCTATGTCGAAAACAAAATTTCATTTGATCACTACAAGAAGGCACTGTTTGAAGATAAACAGTACAGAGCGACATTTAACCAGATAAGAAGCAAGACATTTCAACTCACCTCTAGAACAGTTGATAAACTCTCCCTGTCAGCCAATGATAACAAACGCATAGTGTTGCAGGACAAAATTAGAACTTTGGCGTATGGGCATTATCGAGCTCGTCAAAATGACGATGGAGGATCGTCAGAATATGATTCTAGTCAGTCTTAGCTCGATGGTTGATCAGCACTCTTTAGGAGTAGTCAGAATGTTGTATTCATTGAGCATGGATGCCGTTGCCAGTACTATTCCATATGAAAAAGAATACGAAAGAATCGAGGATATCGAAATGTTTTCGATACTCCCTTCCCTCATGCACACAGAGTTGAGAAGCTCTATTAAACGGACTTGGATAAAAACTACAACAGTCAACAGAGATTTAATAAAAAGTTATGAGTTTAGAGATATCGACTTTATGCAAATTGATAGTTATCAGTTTGTCATGCTCATGAACCATCCTCTGGAGGAACCAGAGTTTTGGAGTCGAAATTACTATGGTAATAATTGTCATATAAATTTGGACTACTATGAAACAATACAAACAGAACGTCCTATGAAGTATTGTCGAGGCTGCTTTTTTAACCTTTTTACACTAAAAGACGATAATGATATTGATTATCAAAGTTATTGGCACGAAAAGGGGTTGGCATTTGTACATGTTGTACAGCATTTTGAAGTTAACTCTAACAGGCTAATTGATGCAGTGGTTAAACAAGAAAATAACTGGTGTGACTACTGTGTATTTCGACCATTGTTTACATTTCTAAACTACTTTGACTGTAGAGACAATAACAACATGTTACATGATAGTGATGAAGACAGCCCCGCATCTCCAGTGACAATGTTTAACCGTACAGAACTTTATGATCCATATAGAGAGTGACATACGCTAGTCCAGCATATTTGAACAATGAGGCTGTTGGTCAAGTTTTGTTTTTTTAACCATACAATTACACGTTTACTTTGTTTGTTTTTTGCGTTTCTTTTTATATATTATGTTTTATTGTAAACCCTAGCTAATGTAAAATAATTTGATGAACTCATGCCTTTTTGTTGTCTATACTCTATAAGAGTTGTTATCTACTTGAGAACTGAATTCTAGTAGTATATAGCTAAAATATAACTTAATAACATGATATAACAAAGTAAGATAATGCTTAGCATTATGATATTTAACACATGTATATTATTGTGCACATTTCATGAATATTTTGTAATGTACTAACAACCTTTTTCGATCTGTATTTGTTTTACTATTACATGTTTACTAATCTTAACACATTTATGTAACGCTAGAGTTGTATATAATAAACACATCTAAAATGTTTATGGTTACCTGTTATGTTGGTGTTATCTATATAGCATTTATTTTTCAAATAAACTTATGTTAAACTTGACTACTTTGTTTGTTGCTAAACCCATTATTTAAAAGTTTTCCAAACACCCTCTGAAAAATTACTTTAAAAAGTATTATTGCTATGGATGCTAAGAAAAGTAAAGTCAATCCTCTACTGTGTTGTTGCTAGCTTAGCTGAAGGAAAGGGTAAACAAATAAAGAAAATCAAAGTTTGTAATACAAATATATTACCATAAGATACATTGAATACAGCAATTTTCTCTTTACCATTTTGACAAGTATTTTAAGTTCTCCATCACAGCTTCGGTAATGTTTGCTGCACAAAAGCGGCGTACCTCACTGTCTATCCACGGCATCATTGATGTCCTGAGTGCAGTCCGTTCATACCAAAAATCTTGAGTCTCTGCAGGCAACCTCCTTTCATTCAAGTCAGAAAGTAAACGTGGCAAATCACTTGTAATGTGTCGAACGAGTTGTTTATCCAAAGTCATTGAAGTCAAGTCATTTGTAGTGTTTGAAGAAAGCAAGGCCATTACCTTATAGTGTTTGGTAAAATATCGTGTGTAACGAGAGATCAGAAACTGCACAGTTGGGTTTATTTCAAGTAGGATATTAAAGTAGCTTTCAAGGGATGGGAACAAGCGTTTTAAAGAAATCCATCCATCATTTTGTAGAACCACTCTGGGAGTCTGTCGAATAATATCAGATTCACTAGAAGCTCTCGAAAGCGTAACAGAATTCAAATTGTGATTAACTGGCTTATTTCTCAGACGATAGTTACAAAATGATACTAATCCATTTGGTCTGGGTTCCAATATGACTGTATGTAGATAGAATGGATTGAATGGAGTTTCATTGGAGTAAAAGTTGTTGACAGAGTGGTGAACTGTAGAGCTTTGCAGACTTAAAAGATCTTCAAATGTCAATTCAATTGAGGTTTCATTATTCACTAAACAAATAGAAGGAGAAAAGTCTTTAATAGAATCAAGACCAACAACCGCATGAGCCTGGCTTGCAACTTTGTAAATCTGTCTGAGTAAAAGACGTGGTTCCCATGAGTTAGACTGCTGGTTAGAACGCACAGCTGCTTTGTGTGAACTATGAGAGTGACTCACCACAGATGTTGTCATCACAGGTGTTGAAGTAGACGTCGAAGAAGAACACACGTATGACACTGGAGGTGAAGTCGATAGTGTGGTCGGCGACGTAGATAGCTTAAGTGCTGATGTATTTGATAATAGTTGTTGCGAACGTTGAGGTGGTGGTGGTGGTGGCGGCGGCGGTGGTGGCAGTTGTGATGACAGTGATGGCAAAATCGAGGCATGAAGTTTTTCTTGATGACCTTTCTGACGAAAAACCTGGCTCGACCTGGCGCGTGTGCCAGATTTTGCCGAATTGGAGTGGGCTGGTATTTTCTGTTGTACGATTGACGGCTGTTCCGGTCGATACTCTTCCACTTCCTTTGAATCGTAATCCTCATCCTCTTCCACTGCATTACCATTTTCACTGCAAACTGTTGAACACTCGCGGGTATAGTAATTCGCTTGGATCGCACTTGCACCTGCTGTTGTGTGTACAGAATCAGATACGTCTTGTAGAGTCTCACCAGTTAGAGATGCAAGAAGCTGGTCAATGTCCATAGTATTTACATCGGAGTATATTACGTTATGCACTGGGGGTATAGGGGGAGCTTTAGTACGTTTGCGTTTCACTCGCGATAGATCTTTACGTGGAACTGGTGCCGACCGCTTCACTGACGCGTTCATACTGACTGAACCAGCAAACCAGTTCTAGGTTTTATATGCAGTGTATTTGCAGGTCTGGACAGGTCTTAGTACGATCATTGACCTTACGAGGCGGATGCTGAGCGCCAAGGACAAATCCATTGAACCTCTTGGATCTCTTTCTTTTTTGCGATTACATAACGTTGTTGTATAAAGAAGGCTTTGACAACAAGTCTAGACAGGTTTCCATTTATTTATACATGCTAGAAGTTTTAAGAGATAGATAATCCTGTTGTCGTAAGTAATGCAGTGAGCTTTCTATCAATAGTTGCAAAAAATTTTAAAGTTTCGGCATCTGATTTATCCAACGTGTTTAGCCTTTCATCAATGGTCCTTAATAATTTTGATGTTTTCTCATCTGATTCCTGCAGCTTCTTTACCTCTCCATCTAAGGATACTAGCGATTTAGATTGTTTCCCGTCTGAATCATGTAGCTTCTTGAATCTTTTATCCAAAGACATCAAAGATGTAGAAACTTTCTCATCCGAGTCTTGTAGCTTATTGAGCTTATCACCCAAAGATACTAAAGATGCAGACGTTTTCTCATCTGATTCAAACAGCTTTTTGACATTTCTATCCAAAGATAACAAATGTGTAGACGTTTTCTCATCCGAGTCTTTCAGCTTCTTGAGCTTATCATCCAAAGATAATAAAGATGCAGACGTTTTCTCGTCTGATTCAACTAGCTTTATTAGTTTGTTATCCAAGGAAGCAATTAATTGTGATGATTTCCCATCTGATTCTTCTAAGTTGTTTAGTCTATCGTGATAGGATAACTGATTCTCCTTTATGTCTTTTAGCTCGGTCTTGATAGAACCCTCTATGGAGACTATTGATTGTTTTACATCCTTAACTGCTTGCTGGGCCTCTTTGAGGCTAACAACAAAGGTCTTTAACTTTCCTTCCACCTCATTCAAATCGTCTTTGTTCACATAGAAACGATTTAAATAGCCTTTAGACACCTTTTGTCGTGATACGTCAGGTTCCACTGCAGCTCTAAACCTCTTTGATCCATCTTCACTTATCACATATGCATCATCTTCGTCATCAGATAAGTGATGCTTCTGTTCTTGATACAAAGCATGTCCAAACTTATCTATAATGTGTCTTCTAATCATAGCTTGTACAATATATGTTTACAATAACAAGATCTAATCCAGAATGATGGGAGAAACAGGTTAATATACTATTTAAGCCCACGAGTTGTAGCGTGAGGGAAACCCAAGCCATTTGACATAAATCTTGTTTCCTTTGCGCTTTATAACCTTTTCAACCAAATACGTATCTGGGTAATTTGTCTTTTGTAATTCTGGTTCGTAAAATGCCCCTTTGATAATGTCCCCTTCTTCATCTTGCAGGTAGTACACTGGTGGGACAGATTTTCGCACTCGTATGATTTTAAATAATTCAGTACTCCAGTTTGGGGTGTAACCTTTTTCAAACAAAGTTTTATACTTAGAAACCCTGACTTTATCATTGACTCTTAGCTTTGGAATCCCTTGTACCTTGTTTTGATTTAATTTCCTCACCAATGCCCTCTCGTGAAACGATGTAACATCTCGTGGTCTCATGCCTGTTGTCCGATGTAGCCTTGAATTGTACATGGAAATTAAACGAGGAAGCATGTCTAGCCACCTATAATCTCCCTGTACAGCAAATTCCTTTATAATGCCTTTATTACCTATGAACACTTAAACGATAATACCGTTTAGTTGAAGCAACTCTATAATATAGTCTATTTCTTCGCTATGAGCGTTGTGACCGGCTTCTTGTGACAAAACCAAGGTTTTAAGTCGCTTCACCAGTAAATTCACATCAGATGTGTACCTGTCCACGTTGTCAACAGTTATACCACTTCCACTAGCGTGTTCCGGTGTTGTAACGGTCATGCCTTGCTTTGGTGGAAAAAGTACCGATATTACGCTTAAGTACTTTTTGCCCCTATTTGCATTTACAGGTTTTTCAGCAGAATACATCTGTCGGTGTGCATTGGTGTCTTGAAGGATCTTTTTGTACACTGTCAAATCCTG